TGATTAACTGTACTAAGCAGAGGAGATGGAGAAATTAGGCAAGCATATGGTAGAGTGTAGTTGAATTGATGATTCATAGAGAAAACAACACTTGAGTGATGAGAGAAACACTTCCAAGTGAGCTATGATCATGTTGATTAATTGTACTCACATGAATTTTGATGAAATATATGAACTTAGATAGCAAATCTTACTCAATGATGATTATGCAGTAGGAATATCATGATGAGTACTTGGATGAACACTTTGATTGAAAATTTTGCAGAAAACACAGAATTAGAAATTGGAAAATCTGAGAAAAATAATTTCTTAATTGAATTGGAAATTGGAGGAACTTATCCTTGGTTTAATTTGATTTGCTTGAGAATAAGAAAAAATTCAAGTTTGGGGTAGTGATGAATCCATATTTTTACTAATATTTTAGCATAATTCTAACACATTTGATAAGAAAAATATATGAAGAAATCAGAAAAACTCAGACAAAGAGAAGGAATTGAAGTTTTGTTTAAATTTGTAGTTATCTTAGCAATTGTGAAATTTTTGCTTAGGAATTAAGTTTTTAATCTTATTTTTGAAGGAATAATTCGAGCAAGGATCATGAAAATGGAGGCTTGATGACAAGGAAGAGGAAAGAAGCAAGTCTGGACTCCAAAAACACAAGAACAATAAAATGCAGACTGAGCGTGATCACTATTGTCAGTGAAAGTGATCCTCCAGAGTTCAAAGAAGAAGAAACTTGGGCGTTACCACTTTTGCCAGGAAAAATGAGAGATCTAGTGAAGCCTCAGACTCAGCATGCTGGGCGTTATCACTTTTATCATTAAAAGTGATAGTTCCAGAGAGGCAAAATATCAGGAAAGCTCTGCGTAATCACTATTGTCGTCAAAAGTGATCGTTCCAGAGAGCCTTCAACTTGGCGAGTTACGCGTAGTCACTTTTATTCATAAGAGTGATCACGTGCAACTACTTGGGCTCTACGTAAACACTTTTATCAGCAAGAGTGATAGTTCTAGAGAGCTCTCAATATCAGGAAAGTTACGCGTGGCCACTTTTTCTCATAAAAGTGTTAACGCGCAACCATAAACCTTCTGCGTAGCTACTATTTCTCATAAAAGTGATAACGCGCAAATATAGGAAATTCTATAAATACCTGAAATGCTTCGATTCTTGGGGGATTCTGTTCATTTTCAGTTTTGTTAGTTAGATTCTCATTAGAGGAAGTGAGAGAGAGGAGTGGGGATTTGAATCTTAGAGCTTCACGAAGAGACATTGGAGTGGAGCACGTTTCCATGGCGATCTTGAGTTTCTTCTTCTCTTCTTCTCTTTCTTTTCCTTTCTCTGCTGTTATGGCTGTGTAATTTCTTCATAGTTAGGGATTATAGATCTGAAACGAACATGTTGAATTGATTTTGGATCTGGATTTCAAGCTTTGGAATAGATTGAGTGATTGATTCTGCATATTACGTAGTAATTGAATGGAAATTTGATTAACTAATTTAAGATGAACTCTTGTCAATAGAAATTGAATTTGTTCTTCAGATCTAAACCAATCACCGAGATTATAGTTTTCTTAGGGATAAGAGACTTTGATCTTGCAATCTTCTGGTTTCTTGCACTTAATGCAATATTGAATTGAATCATATCTAAGGACTTAGAATGGCTTAATTGAATGTTAGGTTAACTGAGTTAAGGAATTAACCTCGGAACAATATAACGTGAAACTGATTGTCATTCTTTCCAATTGCTTGTTAGTTCAGAACTTTATTGATTAAACATTGGAGTTTTGGTGAAGCAATTCCCTAGCTATGGTTTCTCCATCTGTTATCACATAATTGTTTGTTCATTGTTCTGTTTTTCTACAAGTTTCTTTTACTCTTAATTGTTCTGGTTTGCTGTTATTAAATGTTACAACTCTCCTTCCAAATTTGTATGACTTAAATGGTTATAATTCTGTGAAGTGGTACTTGAAACCTAAATTCCTTGTGCAGACGATATTTGGATCTTAAATTTACTCATTACTTGCTGCAATCCTAGTGCACTTGCTAGTGTTAGATTGCGAACAACAATCAAACCACTTGAAATTAAAGAAGTTTTTTAAAAAATTATTTTCTTAAGAAGAAAATTAACCACAATTCCATTTCTCAATTTTTAAAACACTTTTCAAAACCCATCAAATTTTATCTCAAATCTTCTCATATTTTTTAACCATTTTTATTTCACAAGTCTCCAATTCTTTTCAACTTTCAACATACCTTCTAAATTATTTATACTGAATTCAACAAAACAATTATCATAGAAGCATCATCACACATAAAATCAATCTCAAAAAGGAATATCAAACAATTGTACACTAAGTATGGAAATAATTATAAATTCCTTCAAATAATTTATACATACATAGCAAGGAATAAAACACTTAATCTCCCAACGTTTTTCTACTATACCCTTGAAAATAGATATGTCCCCCATTACCTTGAAGTGTATACCAATTTTTCTCAATAACGTTTTCTTGTCACCACTTCTCAAATCACAATCCTAACCAAATAATTACACATAAAATCATGATTAATGTTAAGACACATTAATCATCCACCCATCTACTATTGAGTTGAAATTATCATTTTCTAATTTTTGAAAAAGTGGCTTAAGGGTCCTATAATTGTTTTTTTTTAATACTTTAAATGAAATAATATGAGCATAGAGGTAATAAAAAAAATTATTTTCCCCTCTTACATTCTTGAGACAACACCTCTAAAACAAGGATTTTGAACCCCAAATGAATTTTTAGCAAAACAAAAAAATCAAAATCATCTATTATAAACCATGGAAGGATTAAGCAAACTAAAACACAATTTAGAACCAAAAATTTGGGCAAAATTTCACCCATCATGCTATTGTTCCAGCACCCAAAAAGAGGGAGAAAATAAAAAATTCAATCGGTTCTAAGTGTTTAAAATGATAAAAATAGGCAGAATAGTAAAAAAACTTTATGAACTTACTTGAAAATTGAAAAGATTAGAGACAAAGAAATTTCAAAGCATTTGAAAGGAGAAGAAGAGCACTTCACGGCAACCAAGAAAGAAAAAGTTGAGTTCGGTGAGTTGATCTTATCTTAAATAGGAAAAAAAGTAATAATATAATAATATAATAATAGTATTTTCACTAATTTTTTTGTAATTAATTGAAACAATTAGATAAAAATTCCAAAATTTAAAAATAATCATGAAATATATTAAACATAATTATAAAATAATTTTTGACACTTTTGATCATTTAGTTGGTGTCCAAAATTTTTACACGCAATTTCTGCTTGAGCATGTAACTAATTTACATAAAATTAATCAGAAAATCCAAAATTGCTCAATAATTATAAAAAAATTATTTTTATATTCCAAATAATATTTATAAATAAAATATAAATTTTTTCTATATATATATATTTTTTATTATTTTTTTAAAATAAAATGTTATTTTTAGCTTTATACAACAATTTTAACCAGTACAAATGAACACTATTTGAAACTTAAAATTTTTAAAATTAAAAATTATGAAAAATTTCTTAAAAATATACCTAACAATTTTGTCTAAAGCATTTCATGTTAATTTTATCACTACTTTCCCCAAAAATTTGAGAACTATACTCTAACTTATAATTACATTAACAAATTAACTGTTTAGCAGAAACGAGGATGTTACAAAGTAAGCATGAAAGTAAATCTCCTAAACAAAGATATAATGTAATACAATTCAAAAATAATCCTCTTTTACTCTTGCTAGCCATCCCATGCTTTTTTTCCTTTTTATTTCTTTTTCTTTTTCTTTATTTCTCTTTCTCTCTCTCTCTCTTTTTAAAATGTTGATTTTTCTTTTCTCTTGCATTTTCTAAAGTAATCTCTCCCACACTTATTTCTATGATCATTTCTAAAATAATTCTAAAGTTCTTGTATCTCCTAAGGTTGGGTCATTTTATTGTTTTACACCTTTAGCTTGAAATGAGCTAAGATCACAAGAAATAGAACAATTAGGCTCAATGGAGCTCAAACAATGGAAATAATGCAAGATTGGCTTTTTGGCTAGTATTTTGCAAGAAGGAAATGATGCATCTATCATGTTAATGCAAATATATGGAAATATAGTCTCAAAAAGGCTCAAGGCAAGTTTTAGTGTCATACAACCATGAGTGCAATCACACAATGAAGGAAAGTAAAATGACATGATATTGTCATCTATATGGCTCAAAACCTCACAAGGTATATATTCTATCCCAAATAATCAAACACACAATATCAAAGTCCACCTATCAAACCGAAGAATGATTCAATCAATCCATCAAAGCCATGAAATAATCACTTAATTAGACAATGTACACACCAAAAACATAATACTCCCCCCACTTGAAATTAACATTGTCCTCATTGGAAAACACAATAAGCATAAGGACAATTCAAACAATCCAATAAGTGAGAGAGAGGTAAGAAAAATCCCTATAAATCAGGGTAGCTGGCCAATTCAAAAGTGGTCTCCTCTTGTTCATGTTCCCCCAAGCTCTCATGAAAAACCTTGAGCCGATGCCCATTAACCTTGAAGCTCCTTTGCGATCCCATATCCTGAAGTTCAACAACACCATAAGAAAAAAACGTTAATAATGAGAAAGAGACCATCCCACTTAGATCACAATTTACCAGGGATCAACTTAAGTCTAGAATTATATAAAAGGACTTTGTCACTAATGTGGAACTCTTTACGCCTTATTAGCTTATCATGAAAAGCCTTGGTGCACTCTTTGTAGATGTTGGAGTTCTCATATGCTTCTCTATGAATCTCCTCCAACTCTTGTAATTAAAGCTTCCTATGCGAGCCAGCTGCCTCTATATCAAGGTTACATTGCTTGATTCTCTAGAATGCCTTGTGCTCCACTTCTACTGATAGATGACATGCCTTTCCAAAAACAACTCGATAAGGAGACATTCTATAGGTGTTTTGTAAGCGATTATGTAAGCCTACAGAGCTTCCTCCAAGCATAGACTCAAATCCTTTTTGTTGGGTAGGACAGTCTTCTCTAGGATTTGCTTTATTTCTCGATTGGAGGTCTCTGCTTGTCCGTTAGTTTGAGGGTGGTATGGTGTGAAAACTTTATGCATAACCCCAAACTTCTGAAGTAAGGTAGCCATTATGCGATTGCAAAAGTGTGATCTCTGGTCACTAATTAATGCTATGAAAAATCCAAACTTGTAGAAAATATATGACTTCACAAAATCTACAACAACACGAGTATCATCAGTACGAGTGGCTTTTGCCTCCACCCACTTGGAGACATAGTCCACTACTAACAAAATATAGGTATAGCCAAATGTAACAGGAAAAAGACTTATAAAATCTGTGTCCCATTCATCAAATACCTCACAAAAAAGGAGAGGTAGTTGGGGCATCTCATTCCGGCCCGAGATGTTTCCAGTCCTTTGGCATTGCTCGCATGTCTTACAAAAGTTGTGTGCATCCTAGAACATGTTAGGCCAATATAGTCCAGAATCTAAAATCTTTTGGGTTGTACATTGAGGTCCAAAGTGTCCACCACAAGTCTAGGGATGGCAAAATCTAAGCACAGATTGGAACTCAGGTTCAGGCACATATCGTCTGATAATCTTGTCACTGCACATCTTCCATAAGTATGGATCATCACAAATGTAGTACTTGGAATCACTCTTCATCTTGGCAGTTTGAGCTTTGGAAAAGTATGTAGGAATTTCCTTGGCAGCCAAATAATTCACCAAGTATGCACACCAAGAATCATACCCTCTAATGGGGAGATCCTCTAGTGGCTGCTGAATTCTGCTCAAATGGTCTGCCACTAAGTTTTCTGCACCACATCTATCTTTGATCTCAATGTCAAACTCTTACAGAAAAGCATCCATCGAATTAGTCTCGATTTAAAATCTAACTTTTTAAGCAAGTACCTCAGAGTTGCATGATCAGAGAAAATAATTACTTTAGAGCCAAGTAAATATGAACAAAATTTATCTAAAGCAAAAACAAAATGTTTTTTTTTTTCTGTAGTGGTGTAGTTTGCTTGTGCTTTATCAAATGTCTGAGAAGCATAAGCTTTGACATGGGTTGCTTTTCCACTTTTTGACCAAGGACAGCACCAATTGCAAAGTTCAAAGCATCACACATATGCTCGAACAAAATCTCCCAACTTGAAGGTTGAATGATAGAAGTAGAAGTGAGGTGTCTTTTTAGCTCATCAAAAATGTCCTTACAGGTCTGATCAAAGATGAAATCAGTATCTTTCTGCAAAAAGGTAGATAATGGGGACACAATTTTGCCGAAATCCTTGATGAAATGCTTATACCTGCATGGTCAAGAAAAGAGCGACTTCTTTCACAGAAGTAGGGTAAGGTAAAGAAACAATTACATCTATCTTGGCTCTATCAGTCTCAAGACCCCTACTTGACACTACATGCCTTAGTATAGTCCTTTCAGTCACCATAAAATGACATTTCTCACAATTTAAAACTAAATAGAACTGTATACACCTATCTAATACTTTAGACAAGCTATCTAAACATGCATCAAATGAAGACCCATAAACAGTAAAGTCATCCATGAATACTTCAAGTGAGGTCTGTAGGAAGTCTATAAATATGCTCATTATACACCTCTAAAAAGTGTCAAGTGCATTACATAGTCCGAATGGCATCCGTCTGTAAGCAAAGGTACCAAAAGGACAAGTGAAGGTTGTCTTATGTTGATCCTTTGGGGCTATGTATATTTAAAAGTAACAAGAAAATTTGTCTAGAAAGTAGTAATGGAATTTCCCTATTATCCGCTCCAAGACCTGATCAATAAAAGGCAAGGGAAAGTGGTCCTTGCAAGTGGCCTGATTCAGCTTCCTATAATCAATACGGACTCGTCACCCATTGATAACCACGTCGCAATGGTATCAAACAAGCTAGATTTTCTCAAAAATTTGTGCAATACAAGAAGCAAACCTAGGTCATCTCTCAAGGACATAAAATGCATTTTATTTTTAGTTCCATCATGCAATTTCAAATTAGATTGGGGGAGGATTTGTTTTGAATTTAAACGACAAAATAACAAAAATGAAAATTAAGGATTATGAAATTCAACCAATTCAAGATCTCAATCCCTACAATGCAATTCTCGTCGTTCACACAAATATGATCCCAACGAATTTCCAATCACACTAATTCAATGCGCATCAACAACCCTAAAATCTAAATCTAGATTATGAATTCCATCAAAACAAGAACCGCAATCGCAAACCCAATGCTTTAACAAAATTTAGAACAATTGATTGATTAAATTAGGTAAATCTAATTAATTCAAATCTGAAATTAACCTATTCTTTCTATTTAGGATGCAACGAAAATTCCATATCATGAAAAACGTAATTAACCTAATTAGAAAAGAGGAAGGAAAGGAGGAATTTGATAAAACCTATTTTGAAACTCGAATACAATGTAGTTTTTGAAACCTTGAACCGGTTGATGAATTAGCCTTGCTTCATAATCATGTTGCTTGACCAATTAGAGAAGGGGATGAAGTTTCCGAAAATAAAAGAGAGGGAGACGAGAGGAATCCTTACGAAAGCTTTTATTTAAAATTCTGAAAATTAAGGCAAAAAAGAGGGAAGAATATCCCCACGCGAAATCATAAACCCTATTTAAAGACAAAATAATTGGGCTTAATTAAGGCCCAGCTTCCTAACGAGGTTCCTAAAACCCTAATTAAGTAATGTCAACAATAAAACCAAATTCTGAAAAATTCATTGCAGGACCGCAACATTGTGACGCAGTTTTGGGCCTTAATATGTTCGAACTGGGATTTTCTCGCAACAGATAAGTTGTAGATCTCTCTCTTATCTTTCCAGGGACACCAATTTTGTCCAATTCCGAGTAGTGTAGCTCCAGATATGGTCTTTTCAAGAAACTGTGTCAAAACAAGAATTTATGGCGGGAATTAAGAAAGATTTAATTTTAAATCCTAAATGACTTACCAACACAAATCTAAACTAACACATCAAAATAATATACTAAAAAGACTCAATTAAATTGAAAACATAGAGAGAAAGATGTATTAAAATATGACTATCACCCATTCTGAATTCTGGTCAGAATCAGCTTATCAAACTAGTTCTTTGTGACTGTTATGCCAGTCTTCATGGGTACAACATAGATCAGACTCAACCATTTACTATCAGAAATTAGGTATATCACGCCTACAGCTAACAGTTTGCCAACTTCTTTCTTCACCACCTCAAGAAGGGTAGGATTCAGCCTTTTTTGGGGCTATCTCACAAGTTTTGCATCTTCATCCAGTAGAATTCTGTGCATACAAAATGGATGGGCTAATTCATGGAATGTCTGCCAAAGTCCACCCAATTGCTTGCTTGTGGATTGCTAAAGTTTGCAATAACTTCTCCTCTTGTGCAGCATCCAAATCTGCTGAAATGATCACTGGCAGCTTGTTATCAACCTCTAAAAATGCATATTTCAAGTGCTTGGGGGTGGCTGCATAATAGAGGGAAGTGCAACTGTATTTGCTGTAATCAAGCTAGAGCTTTCCAAACTTGCTACTGCATCACATGAAACATCATCAGCTGTTAAATATGCATATATTTCAGCACAAATTTTACACAAATCTCCTATAGTACATGTACAACTAGAAATATCAGAAAAATTAGTACAAAACTCCTTAGTTAAAACATCAATAATATCTATATGAAATGCACTATGTAGCTCTCATGGATGCTTCATGGCCTCAAAGATGTTGAACTGCACAACATCGTCTCCAAACTCCATGGATAAAATTTTTGAGTGCACATTAATCTTTGTTCTTGTTGTTTTCAAGAAAGGTCTTCCAAGGATCAGTGTAGGCATGCTGGACTCTTCTGCCATGGCCAGAATGTAGAAATCTGCAGGGAATATCAGCTTATCCACTCTCACCAGCATGTCCTTCACTACTCTCGTAGGAAATGCAGTGCTTCTATTTTCCAATTGAATGACTACACCAGTTTGCTTTAGAGGGCCAAGGCTCAAAGACTTGGAGATTGATGTAGGCATCACGTTATGGAAGCACCAAGATCAAGTAATACATTGCTGAAGGTGGAATTTCCAATAGTGCAAGGGATAGTAAAAGTGCTAGGATCCTTGCACTTCTGTAGCATATTGGGTTGTATGAGAGCTGACACGTTCCTCTCCATGCTGACTCTTTCATCCCCTTTCAGTCGCCTCTTGTTAGTGCATAACTCTTTAAAAAACCTTGCATATTTTGGAATTTATTTTATCGCATCCAGTAGTGGAATATTCACTTCTACTCTTTTGAATGTCTCAAAAAGCTCCTTATCAAAGTTCGTTAGTGACCTTTGCTTGGCCACTCTGTTCGGAAAGGGAAAGGGTAGTTTCTGCATAATTTCTGAATCATTAGAGGCAGTTTGTTGCTCTGTGTTTTGCTGTTTCTCTGCCTCCACATCATCTTGTACCTCTTTATCTTTCTGGTTTCCTGACAGCTCCTTCCTACTCCTCAATATTATAGCACTCACATTTTTGGGATTAACCTCTGGTTGAGAAGGGAGTTGTTCAGAACCTTTAGACTTGAACTGGTTTACAGTGGTAGCAAGTTGGCCAATCTGTGTCTGCAGGTCTTTGTCACTCTCTCAACAAAAGTAATTTTGACTAGCAAGTATACTAGTGTTATTGTAGCAAGTTATAAAATTTTTAGAACTATGTTTGAGTCCCAAATATCGTCCGTAGGGAATAGAATTCTTAAATATCACTTCACAAGTCCACAATTAGTTGAGCCTAACGAAATTCAGATAAAGTTTGGAAGTAAAAGCAACAAATATTAAACTCAAAAAATAGAACAGAACAAAGATCATGAAAATGTGTATTTAACAGATATAGCATACATAGTTAGGGACTTGTTTCACCAAAAATTCAGTGTTGATTTAATGAAGTTCTGAACTTTCCAGTATTTAGATAGAATGACAATCAGTTTCACGATATATTAATCAAAGGTTAATTCCTTAACTCAATGAATCTAACATTCAATTCAATCGTTCTAATTCCTTAGATCTGGTTCAATTAAATGTTGCTTTAAGCATTAGAAACCAAAAGATTGCAAGATCAACATGTCTTATACCTAAGAAATCAATAATCTTGGTAATTGATTCAGATCTAAGAAATAAGTTCAACTTCCATTGATAAAAGTTCCTTTGTGATTAGTAAATCAAATTTCTATTCAACAACTACTTGATTAATAGAATCAACTACTCAATCCAATCCAATACTCAAAGTTCAGATCCAAAATCAATTCAACACTTCCATTTCAGATCCACAATTCCTAACTACAAAGAGTTTAAGCAACCATTACAAAATGAAAAGAGAAAGAAAGATAAGAAGATGAACGAAGAAGCATCTTCAAGCTAATCTTTAATCTGATTCCTCAAGATTTGAAGCTTGGTGTTCGTCCCCAATCTCTCTCTCAAACTCCCTCAATACCAAAAAATGAATGGAAAGTAAAAATGAACAAAAGATCCCAATAGATCTAAGCTAACTCATATTTATAGAATTCTCGCCTTTCTATCATAGTCACTATTTTTCACTAAAGTAGCCACACAGAGGCCTTTATAATAATCTTTATGACTGGAACGATCACTGTTCTTCATAAAAGTAGCAACACAGAGGTTCGTGGTCTGCGCGTGTTCACTTTCGTGAACAATAGGAGACATGTGTAACTTTTAGTGATGGAAGGCTCTCTGGAACAATCACTTTTGTGAACAAAAGTGATAACGCACACCTTGCTATGCTTAAGAGCTCTCTGGAACGATCACTATCAGCAGCGATAGTGATAACGTACAGGTCATCCTTCAATATTAGGCTCTGGAAAACAATCACTTTTGTGAACAAAAGTGATAACGTCCAACTCTTGCTACACCAGACCTTGTTCCTTAATTCTAATTTTTGCTACTTTTCTTCTATCTCTCTCTTAATCTTCCAGCCTTATGAACTTAGCTAAGAATTTCCTACAAAAATATGATTGAATCATTAATTTCTACATAGAAAATTCATAAACTAAACAACTATGTATTTATAAAAGACTTTGAACATTCTATTATTTTTATGAGTTTTTCAGGTTTTTCTAACATGTTTTCTTTATCAAATGTATTAAAACTAAGGTAAAATACTGGTAAAATATAGATTTATCAGTCTTGAATGGAGGCATTGATATTCTATTGTAATTATAGATTGCTCTTGGCCATTTATTTGACCAAATCCTCTAATAAAGGCTTAGAACTTTACTATATTTGCTGTTGTCTCATAGGGGGTGGTCTATAGCCATTACTTTCTTGGCTTGTCTAATGCTGTTGAGAGGTACCATATCTCATATTTGGATGATCATTGAAGGAAGGATTATGAGATTGATACTGGAAACTATATGGCTGTTGTTGTCTTTGAGGTTGTTGGAAATTTGAAGCTCTGTATTGGTCTTGTCTTCCACTAAAAACTTCGTGGATTGAAACTTGTTGGCTACCATCATGCAGCAAAGGACAACAATCTGAGGTGTGCTCTATGGAGGAACAAA